ATCAATCGAATGCCTGGCACAAAAGAAAAAATGATCTTGGAAAAAATCCATATTGAAATCACTTATTTTTCATTTCTCGTCAGAAAGATGAGTCATTTCCATAAACTTTCGGCAATCAAAAATGATCTCATTTTGCGATAAACGGTCAAGATCTTCGGAGATGAAATGGAATTTGCAATCGTTTGTTTTACAACGGCTTAGGGGGATTGTATTATTTTGAATTGCCTTGATTTCTAAAGTAATAAAAAGAACTCCATATAAGAATAAATGTTTTTTGGTACTTAAAAGATGTACTATAATAATAAACTTCTTTAAATTTGAAAACGATTTAAATTTAAGAACTATGTTTTAAATCGTAAACTTCATAATGATTAAAAATAATTATCGATTAAAACCATAACATATCAAATTAAAGATTAAAAATGAAAAGAATAAGAAAACGCAATTTTTCCAAACTTGAAAAGAAAATGATGATGATATGAAAAAATTTTAATCTGTTTTATATAAAGATTGATAATGTAAATTTGCAAAATTTTATTTTTCTAAAATTTTTCTAAAAAATTTCACTCTCCTTAGATCTTATCTTAATTTTTCTATAAGGTTCAATGCTAAAAGCTTCAATACTAAATCCTTCAATTGTTATTCTGGATTTTTGATATATTCCCTGCTTTTAGTCTTCTACACCATTTGGTGTTGTAGAGATCTTTTTGAGGTTTCTTTCACTTCTTCACCAAAATTTCCAAAAACGCTTTTTAAATGGCCGAGCCGAAGCATTCACCGAATCGCTGAAGCTCTTAGACACATATTAGAGATATTAGAGAAATTACTAGACCAAATGGTGTAGAAGAGATCTTTGCTGAAAGTTTTCTCGTCTTCTACACCATTTGGTGTAGTAGTGATCTTTTCGAGGTTTCTTTCACTCTTAACCAAAAGAAGAAAACTTCGAAATTCGATTTCTCTTAGAATAACATAGAGAAATGCCTTACCTACTTTTAAAGCTATTCAACGTTATAGGAACTTATAGCAACTTTATCTTGTTTGGTGAAGAAGAGATCTGCTCAAGATTTTCGTCTTCTACACCATTTGGTGTAGTGGAGATCTTTCGAGGTTTCTTTCTCTTCTTCACCAAAAAGCAGAAAACTTCGGAAATTCGATTTCGATGAGATATCAGGATGTCTTTCCACCGAAAGCCAGAAGCCTTTACCGAAATGCGACTGTGTCTGAGAGCTCTAGCGATTCGTTGAATGCTTCGGCTTTCGGCCACTTAAAAAGCGTTTGGAAATTTTGGTGAAGTAGGAAAAGAACAAAAAAAGATCTTACTACACACAAATGGTGTAGAGAGATCCTTGCTGAAAGTTTCTCGACTTCTACACCATTTGGTAGTAGAGATCTTTTTCGAGGTTTCTTTCACTTCTTCACCAAAAGCAGAAAACTTCGGAAATTCGATTTCTCTTAGAATAACATAGAATGCCTTACACATGATATGAATGATATGATTCAACAAACGATCAGGGGGCATTTTATATCTCACTTCCATGTAAATTTCTGAAATTTAAAACAAATCTTATAGTTTTGTTGAACGTTCTCTGTTGACACATTCATTTATGAAATTCTTTATATGTATAAAAATATGAAACTTGACTTTCTACACTTTAATATAAATACATGAAGAAAATCTCGGTTAAAGTTAGATCGAGGAACTCGGTAGCGAAGAGCTCGGCACCGAACTCTTCATTCTTCTTCCTTCCTCCATACCTCAACTTCTAATTGACCGATCAATTTGTGGTTGTATTTAAATGTTTCTTATAAAATTTTGCATCCGAAATTCACAATCTCCTTAGTAACTTTAAAATCAAAACATAAAAAAATTCTGGTCAAAGTTGGACTAAATTTCTGCAAGCAGGAATCTAGGTTTACCGTCCGGATATGGTAAAGCCTAAGCAAACTCTAGATTTTAAGTGCAAATTCAGATTCTAAATAAAATTTGGATCCAGAAAAGGTACTTTATAAGATATTGAGTCAGGCTTCTTGAATTCTACGCTAAATGCAAATATAGTGGAGAGATCAGCTATAGGAGACCGACTTACTACAAGACTTTCCGACTTAGAGACAAGTGAAAATAGAGAAGTATGATAAAAACACTTTTCTAAGTTCAATTTTTGATGGAGAATCCGAATTTGCCCTTAAAATTAGGGCTTTCCAAAAAAAAGTACCACTTTTCATTAAATCTCATAAATTTTATAGGGTGATTCAATGAAATAGTCTATAACTCATGATCTAAGAGTCGAATCAAATAGCGGCTGCGTTCATTAGAATCTACACAAAATTTAACTTTTAGAAATGTTCTATCTGTTTATAGACTTACCAATGAAGACCTAGATAAAATTAGGGTCAAGAGTCGGGTAGGTCTACACCCCCTCGACACTTGTCTAGGGGGTAGGCAGATTTTATAGGGTTATCCTCTCTTTTTCCGCCATATCTTCACTTCCAGTTAACCGATCAACTTGTGGTTGTTCTTAAAATGTTCCTTATAAAATTTCCTACTAGAAATTTACAATCTCCTTAGTAACTTTAGGATAAAAACATAAAGAAAATCTCGGTCAAAGTTGGACTAAATTCCTGCAAGCAAGGAATCTAGGTTTACCGTCAGGATATGGTAAAAGCCTAAGCAAACTCTAGGTTTTAAGTGCAAATTCGGATTCTACATAAGATTTGGACCTAGAAAAAGTACTTTATAAGATATTGAGTAAAGGTTTTCTTGAATTCTAAGGGTAAATGCAAATATAGTGCCTAAGGATTCAGTGAAAAATGTTACCCCTAAACAATCGGTATCCAATCGGTTGTTTAGAATACGATTGTTTGGGCTAACATTTGTTTGGGGTAATATTTTTACCTTGGGTACCCAAGACTCTGGGGTCACCCAAGACTTACTATTAAGGAAATCCTTAAGTATTCACAGAAAAATGTTAACCCCAACAATGTTACCCCAAACAATCGGTATTCTAAACAACCGATTGAATACCGATTGTTTGGGGTAACATTTTGTTTGGGGTAATATGTTTACCTTGGGTAGGCAAGACCACCTTGGGTACCCCAAGACTTGACTATTAAAGAAATCCTTAAGTATTCGCGTGAAAATGTTAACCCCAACAATGTTACCCCAAACAATAGCAGAGCGATTGCGCGATTTTGTTGTAAAAATGGAAAAAATTCGAACAAAAATCGCGCGCTTGCTCATGGGGCAATTTCTAACAATCTAGCCGCTTTTATTAAGAATTGCCTACTGAACAGCTTCTTAATAATTTAGCTGTTTTTCTAAAAAAATTGTCAACCGCGCAATAGGAAGTTTATAAATAGAAAGTTTGAATGCTATTTGTTAGTCGACTATGCCTACAAAGAGCGACTGCGCGATTTTTGTTGGAAAAATAGAAAAATTCGAACAAAAATCGCGCGCTTACCACAAAGTTTGCAGTATCACAAAGTTTGCAGTACCACAAAGTTTGCAGGTACCACAAAGTTTGCAGTACCACAAAGTTTTGTAGTATCACAAAAGTTGCAGTACTGCAAACTTAAAAGTTGTAGTACTACAAAGTTTGCAGTACTACAAAAGCTGTAGTACCACAAAGTTTACAGTACCACAAAGTTTGCAGTACCACAAAGTTTGCAGTACACAAAATTCGCAGTACTACAAACTTTGTAGTACTTTGTAAGTACAAACATTTAAAAGGTCTATAACTCAAGATCTGAGAGTTCAATCGACTTCTGCTTACTATCATTGGAATTTACCAGATTTCAACTCTCGAAATGTAGCCCTTTCAAATCCTGAATATTTCAACAATCTGCTCAAGAGCTCCTTCGCAATTGCACGCAACTTTCCTTTCGAGAATCAATTGCTCCTTATTTTGATTCTTTTTTAAAAATGGACTTCCTAGAAAAGATTTCAATAAATTTGTCTTTTGAGGATCTCCTTGAAATTTGTCATTTTATTCAAAATCGCTGGACTCCTCGCGCAAATACGTCTTCTTTTCACCTCCTTGCCCGAGTTTTGGGCCCAATTGTTGAACTCAATAGCTTCACTAAACTCTTAACAGAATTTGACGACAAGACGAAATTTCGTGAAATTCCCCGATATTCAAAAGAAAGCGTCTCATTTAAAAGCTGTTTGGATACTCTGACTCTTCATTGCGAATGGCTATCTTTGAACAAAAACTTTTGAAAACTAAAACTGTTTATATATTTGCTCTAAATGGATCTCATGGAAGCTATCACTTGAATTTTACTGTTTATTCTGGAGATAATTTCGACGACAACCAACATAAGGAACACTGTAAAAGCTGTGGGATTAAACTAAAAAACAGGATCCTTGTTTTTTCTGAATTCCCTTAGATTTAATGAGTTTATTGTGGAAACATTTATCTATTTCAGTTGTTTATTTCAACAATTATGTGACTTGCATAAATACTACAACTCTTACAAAAAGTGTATTAGGTTAGTGCATAAGTCTTTAGAGTTCTTTTCAAACTTTTTTTTCCATAGAAAAGAATTTTTTACGAAATTTGTTGCGTTCTAAACTATTAAAAAGGCCTATCATTTCTCTACAAAATGGCATTTGAGAGAAAGCTCGAAGCTCGCCTCAACTTAGTAAAATTCTCAATTGCTGTTTTAAAGAAAATAGTTGGATGAATCGTTTTCAAATTTTACAGACTTATTTAACCAAATGAGCTCTATTTTTTACTTTGTACGCGAAAATAGTTTTATTTTATTGAATTTCTAAGACTATTTTCGCCCGCGAAGATAGTCTTATTTTAATGAATTTCTAGGACTATTTTCGCGCCAGAAAACAGTTTTATTTCATTGAATTTCGAAGATCATTTTTGTGCGCGAAAATAGTCTTATTTTATTCAATTTCTAAGACTAATTTCGCGCGCGAAACTAATCTCATTTTATTGTATCTCTAAGACAAATTTCGCGCGCCAAATTTGTCTTAGAGATACAATAAAATGCGACTCACGTAGAAACAAAGGTTCTAAGACTAATTTCGCCCGCGAAACTAGTCTCATTTTATTGTATCTCTAAGACAAATTTCGCGCGCGAAAATAGTCTCATTTTATTGAATTTCTAAGACTATTTTCGCTCGCGAAGATAGTCTTAGAAATTCATCAAAATAAGACTATTTTCGGGCGAAAATAGCCTGAATATATTCAATTTCTAAGACTAATTTCGCGTGCGAAAATAGTCTTATTTTATTGAATTTCTAATACTATTTTCGGGCGCGGCGGGCGGGCATCTTTAGGTTGGATATCACATTGAAGGTAGAAATGAGGAGTTCATCAGATTGCTGGAAACTGCAGGAGGTAGATTAAGCAATTAAGTGATTTGAAATTTCTAATTTAGGTGATGCCTTTCTCGACTACCCGGGAATTGAGAAAGGCCAGATAAGAGCTCTCGACACGTTAGCTGCTTTTTATGTGCAAGAGGTTTGTTTATTTTTATTTTTAACCTGTTTGAAACAATCTTATGCTAAGCTTTTTTGCTTCAGGGACATCGAGAACGGGCAAACAAGGAAAGACGCAAGGAATGTTTCCAAAAAGCCACACTGCTCTACACAACGGCTGATAAAATTCAAATGTAAGCTATTGCTTTAGCTTTGAGCAAATGAATCGTTTTAGGTATGATCAAGACCACTGACTTGGACGTGCCTACTTTTGTCTCCTCGAGGGCAATAAGATGGAACAAGCCGATGAGCAGTTCAATTTTGTCGTCAACACGGTAAAATTTGTGAGATGGTCTACTTCTATGAAGCTTTAGTCTCCCGATAATATTCCCGCCACATTGGGACGAGCGTGCATTGCTTTCCAGAAGAAAGACTACAAAACAGCACTTCTTCATTACAAGAAAGCGTTGAAGTTGAAGCCGGATTGTGCACCGGATGTTCGACTCGGGATTGGACACTGTTTGGTGCGCTTGGGGAAATTAGATAAAGCGAGGTTTGTATTATTGACATAATGGTAACTTTGGCGATCTAGAATTGCGTTTGAAAGATGCCTTGAAATGGACAAACACAATATTTCGGCGATGGCCACTCTCGCCATCATGGACAACAACTTGAATACACCTGAAGGTTTGTTATTGTTTGTTAAATTGTAACTTCTAACCTTTAGGAGTTCAACAAGCCGTCAATCGATTCAACTACGCGTATAAACTTGAGCAAAATCATCCGATTGTGCTTAATCACTTGGCAAATCGCCGCCGCCAAAAGAACGGGATTCTCGGGCACAAGAAGTGAGGTATGGGAATACTCTTTTCACTTGTAGGATGACTTTAAATGGATATTCTATGTGAAACAAAATCATGTGCTTGCAATATTTTTATTTTAGGGACATGCTCACTCGACTTTTGACAATCTGGCCTGATGATGTCGAGGCGTTGATCGATTTGGCACAACTCACCGAGCACATTGGTGCGCAGGTTGAACACATAAGTTGAACGCTAATTGTACTGCTGTTTTAGAAATCTCTTGTATCCTATCAATATGCAGCCAAAATATTAACTGAACGAGAAGAAGTTGAGGTTGAAGCTTGAAGCTTGAAGCTTGAATAAGCTTCAGGAAGCTTAAAAAGTCTAAAAAAGCTCAAAAAAACAGAAAAAGGCTTGAAAAAGCCTGAAAAAGCCTAAAAAAGCCTACAGTAGCTCAAAAAAGCATAAAAAAGCTTCAGGAAGCTTAAAAGGGCCTAAAAAAGCCTAAAAAAGCTTAAAGTAGCTTAAAAAAGCGGTACTTTTTGTGGTACTTTTTCTCAGGTGAGGTGAAAAGTAGTACTTTTTCTCAGGCAACCCCTAATTTTAAGTGCAGATTCGGATTCTCCATCAAAAATCGACCTTAGAAAAGTGTTTTTTATCATGCTTATGCGTCTTCACTAATCTCTAGGTCGAAAAGTTGAGGATGGTACCATCCTGGAGGATCTCTAGTAATTAATTAAACCGCACTTGGGTAATTAAACCGATGGGGAGGGCTTTCTGAGGGTCTACAGCCCGGGCACGGTGCCAGATGCCGCTTTTTCCTACGAGCGACACCGAGGGTACGCACAAGACTGGGGTATTAAACCGGTTAAATTATTGTTCAGGAAGAATTTCACGGAATTCACGAAATTTTCCAGTTTATTATGGACTAATTGAAGAGCTACATTTTCACTCAGTTTTGACAAAGTTTCTCTTCTAATCATATTAAAAGGAAAATAAATTAGACAAATTGAACGTAATATCCAGCGATTTTCTATAAATTTCATGATTTCATGGTTAATCTGAACAGAAACATCGTTTAATACAAAGAAGCTAATCCATATATTTCCTTGAAGCACATCAAATATTGAGAGAAGTGCTCGCAAAATGTTCGGATTTTTATTGATTTTGATGGAATTCTCTATAAGTTTGAAATCAATTTTTCGTAAAGGCATTCCCGGTTTAACGGGTAAAAACTTATAAACATGAAATTTTGTCGTGCTTGTTTTCTTAAGCTCAATATCAAAAAATTGTAGATGTAAGTCAGCAAAATGTGCAAGTTTCCGAAAAACTCGTCGATGAAGTGGATATTCCTTAATTTCCTTAGATGATTAAAGTAATTTTTATTTTGAAATGAATCAAATTGAAGAATTATCTTTTTCCAATAATCATCTGTTTATAAAAACAGCGTACTAGACTCAAAATGTTTGCACGATCATGTGCCTTGTTTTCTTGTAAACCTTTGCTTCCTAGTACACTGAATTCTTCATTTTCTCTAATGTTTTTACAAAAAGGAAGATATCTGTGCGCCAGATTGTGTCTGTTTCTCATTTTGTGAGCACAAAGATCATTGATCGTTCAGCCTGAACAGACTCTACTCTACAGCAAGCTACAGCACTTTTTTAGTTCGAAAAACTTTAAAAGAATCGATTTGAATTCCCAATAAATCCCTAGAATTTGAAGAATTTAGTGCACTAGCATCTGAAAGTTTACATTTCCAGAGAATTTTCGAAGCTCGTCCAACAATCCCAGCTTTAACACTTATCTTCTCGAAATCCCCAACGAATCCCTTCTTCTTCCTTCATTCCTTCTTCCTCTTCCTCCTCTCCCTTCTTTCTCTTCCTTTTTTTCATTTCCCCTATTTATTTTTCCTCGTTCACATTTCTTTATTCTGCAGAAAGCTTTTTTTAAATTAAATTTTCGCTCATTAAGAATTTATGAGCTCTCTGGCAACTTTCAGCGAAGAAAAAATTGGGAAAATTTATTTGTTTAGGGAAAGAGATTCAGCAGATAAGTGCTTATTTGAGGATTCCTTTTTTGATTGAGTGAAGAAGTTGTTGTCTTCATTTCTCAGTTCTTGCTCTTCCACTTGTTTTTCGACGTACTCCTACTTGACTTTGATTTACTTTGTGCTTTTTTCAAAACCCATCCTTTCTAGCTCATTTTCTCTTGTTTCTGCTTTGTTGTGGATTCATAATCATACTTATTTTTATTCTTTTTACGTTACCAGATTGATAATGTTTTGCATAATCACTCCTAGCACCACATCCACTGGCTTGCCACTGTCGAAAACGGGACGCTCTTCTAGAAAAAGTTGAATAAGATTTTTAAGCTTTCAAATCTTTCAAATCTTTTCAACTTACTAATTATAAGAATAAATTTAGCAATAATGAAATAACTCTTGGTATCAAGAATTCTTATCCAGTTCTATTTTACCTGTCACATAACCCGCCAACAAATCATTGATGAGACGAGCCTCGGGTGGAGATGACCCAATAGGAATACATAATGAAAACAGAATAAGTGAGAGAAACATTTTCAAGAACATTTTTCACGTAATTTTGAGTAGAATCATGTCTAAATTGTTTATTTCATTTTAAATTCAATATTACAAGATGAAAAAAAAGCCAAAAATCCTTTTGCTTCCAAGTTCCAAAAATCAAAATCCAAATTCTCCTTCCAAGGATTGTTGCTTTTTATCCTTTTTGTCCATTTTATTACCATTGTAGAACCTTATGACATTATATTTAAGATCTATAGCAAGATCTATCTAAAGCTGTTAGTTATTTGTACAAATTCAAATTGTATACAATGTGTAAAGCTTTGAAAAGAAGCCGGAATCAATAAAAAATAAGAGTTCTATTAGCGCAAGATTTTTTGATTTCCAAAGATTTCAAATTTCTAAGGTATTCAACTTTTAAACTGCGTTCCAGAATGTCCAAAAATCTGGTGGTTTTCAATTTTTTTCTTCAAGATCACAACTTCCTCTCCTTCCAGAATTTCTATAGTCAAAAGGAGATAATCTTTAAAGATATTGAAGATTTTCCCGGATTTCTCTGAAACAAAAATCTTTCCGTTTTCAAGAACAGTCAATAATCTAAAAATATCCGTATCTACTAACAACAAATCATAAATGATTCGCAACATTTGTTTATTGTTGGTGTCATTTTTGATGATTTCTTGAATCTATTGCACTACACCCCACCGTAGAGTTTGTTCCTCTTGCACTTTCCTCTTCATTTTGAATGATTTTATTCAATTTTTGATCGATTTTAGTCGATTTTTATTGATTCCCATTGATTTTGATCGATTTTTATTAATTTTTATTGAAGTTCTTTGATTTTAATTGATTTTTGATCTGCTTTTGATCGATTATGATCGATTTTTCTTGATTCTAATCGATCTTTTAGGATTTTTGCTGATTTTTATAGATTTTGATCGATCTTAATCAAGTTTTCGATCAACTTTAATCGATTTTGGTCGATTTTGGACTTGTTTTGATTGATTTTTGATCGATTTTTATTGATCTTTAGCGATTTTTGATTGATTTTAGTCGATTTTTGATCGATTTTTGATCGATTTTTGATCGATTTTTATTTTGTAGTTGTCGAGTCACTAAACATAAAAAAAGAAATAAGTCATATGAAGCCTTTGAAGCTTTTTCAAGCTTTCCTAGGCTTTCTAAGCTTTTTTTTGCTTTTCTAAACTTTTAAAGCTTCTTTTATGCTTTTAGTGGCTTTTGAAGTTTTTTTCAAGCTTTTAGGCTCTTTTTAGGTTTTCAAAGCTTTTTGCAGCTTTCTAGGCCTTTTAGAGCTTTCTAGGCTTTTTAGAGCTTAGCGAGTTCGGAATAGGGCTCGAAAATTAGTTTTTGTGTGTAAAATCATTTGACTACCGATCTTTGACTCTGAGAAAACTTACCTAACTTACCTTACCTTACCTAAGAGTACCTAAAATTAGATACATCATAAATAAATAATCAAGTTACATATATCCATAGAAAATTTAAAATAATAATAAAAAATAAAAGTTATTCTCTAACTACTACGCTAAGCCTTGTTTTGTAAATGAGCGATTAACGAAGCCAATCGCTCATTTACAAAAAATATACAGTCGAACTTCGATATAACAAGCCTCAAGGGACCGGCCAAAAAGTTCGTTATATCGAAGTTCGACTGCATTTCTTAAATTTATTAAACCCATCGAGAATCCGATGTACTCCTCAAAAAGACAATTGAGTGCTGCAATCACCTCAGCGGCACTTCTCCTTAAACATAAAATCGTCAAAGAAAATAATTTATTCGCACCTCATTTTCTTGTGCTTTAGTAGGATCGGGCATTTGTTGAACGACGGAATTTCCATTGACTTTGAATCAAAGCGTTATTCCTCCATTCTCCAGCCCTTTCTTTAGTTTTGGTGAAGCGGTTTACGAACGAGCACCAAGCATTGAGAATCCAGATTGAAGTGGAGATCAAACGATCAAACGAAGCTTCACACTAAAATAAAAAATATATTAGAGTTGTCTTAATGGAGCATATGTGAAAGATTCCTTTCTGAAAAGTATCGTTGAATGTCTGGTGGAATTTTTCTCAGTGAGCCTGTAAAAATTCAAGTACTATTTCTGGATGGATTCGTACAATTTTATCTTGATAACCTACCCAACTGGCACTTGAGCATCGGCTCGACGATTGTAGTCGTACGAGATTCTGTCTTTTTGAGCTTTATGCTAAAGACAATACATAGTTCAAATTACGATTGACACAAGAGTTGGGTTATGTGAAGACAAACCGTATCAATCTTTATAAGCGGTTTCAATCTTAAATCCACTTGATTCGTTTGTTGTTTGATGTTTCCAGTGTAATTCTTTGGCCATGTCTTCGTGGGTGTCATAGTGATGACGGTAGAAATAGATGCACTTTAAGGATTGTTTCAAGTGTCAAGCTTTGAAGAAGGTGCCAACGAATTACCCAATTTTGTGCTTGCGACCGGATTGACGCCATCAGTTCTTGTGACACTCCCATCTGGGCTTCTGCCTGCGGCAGCTTCTGTTTACGGCAGCCGGAGCACGTTCAATTCTTGTGAAGAAGACCGATGTCAGCAAGCCACTCGTTGAAGCCGTTACCAAGGAGGAAGAGCTTCTCGTACACATCATCGAGAGCGTGAAGTTCATCAATGCATTGATATTTCTTGCCATTTCGTTTCGTTAACGAAGTCAAAGGGACTTTTTACTTACCTTTGCCTGTATACATAAGCTCTGGGCTCTAGGGGTAGGACTTAACAAGTCTATTTTGCTTATTTTGCAATT